GGGGGGGAGGGAGAGAGAGAGAGAGAGAGAGAGAGAGAGAGAGAGAGAGAGAGAGAGTGCATAAGAACAAGAGGTCTCGCACATGTTCCCCCTCAGAAGGAAGGTGCAAGGAGGACCCCCTGCCTCGTAAGCCCCATTTTGCCTGATTGACCTACAAGTCCTCCACTTCCCCCCTATCTGCGCGTGGGCCAATAATGGGGAATGATATTAAAGGAGAAGGTGGGAACAGAAATGACATTACCTGTTGTGACTGACAGGTCAGGAACCACTCTTGTCCATCACAATGGAACCTTGATTCAGGAGCCAATGACTGTACAGAAGAGGCGGGATGAAGGAAATATAAAGAGAATGGATGACAGTTAAAGAACAGTTAGAGTTAGAGAAATGAGTTAGCAGTTAGAGAGGACTTCAGTGAGGGATGAAGTAGGAACCTCAGTTAGAGAAAAGAAGTTAGGTAGTTAGGACCAGTCTTGTGTTCGGGAAGAGTAATAAAGAAATCAGGAATAAGAAAAGAAATGAATAAATACTTTTTTACATTAACAAATATAAATGTTACTAAAGCACCGTTGATTGCATGAATAAAATAAGAACCTCCCTGATTTACTTTACATGATTTACTTCTGATCATTTTAATAAACCTTGTTTAATTGAATCACACTGATTGAAGAGTCCTATTTGATAGAGTGAGGAATATCTCCTCTGGTAGCAGCGGGAAAGGCTGAAAAATAACTGTCACATCCAAAAGTGAACCTGGGTTATGTGGAGAAACAAACAGGGGAACTGGGTTCATGACACCTGTTAATCAATTATCATAGGACTCTGAAGTACAGATGGAGGGCGTAAAGCAAAATTCCCAGTGTGGCTTGTCTGTTCAGGGGGGAAAACCCCACACTGCAAATTAGGATGACCAAGGTTTGCCTCTTATCAAGAGGACCTGCCCTTGGTGAGCATGGGGTTGGGGTGAGCAGGATCGAGATCATTTAAAAAAAAACACACAACCTAAATAATGTGCAAAGCAAACCAAACACCACCACTCAGCACATCTTCAGACAGGCAGCGTGGTGATGTGGATGAGTACCAGACTGGAAACCAGGAGACCAGGATTCAAATCTCTGCTGGGCCAGGGAAACTGAGAGGAGAGAGTGTGTGGCACGGCTGCTTAAGCCACCTCTTGAAATCTCGCTTACCTTGCAAATGTTGGAGGGATCTGGGATTTGGTTATTGGTTTTTGGGTCCAAAAACAGCAAAGAGCAATCAGCTGAGTCTCACCCCTTCCTAGGAGAAAAGAAAAAGAAAAAACATCAGCCTGGAGGCTTTCTGGATAAAGCAAATCAAAAACGTTTCCTGCTAGAATGTGCCTTCGTCATGTTTCTATTGAACGGGGCTACATCCCCATCTCTCTCTCTCTTCTTCAGGCAGCAGAACAAGACAAACACAAAAGCAGGCAGGCAGGCGTATCTTCTCTCTGACACACGTGATGAAAGCAGCAGCATACAAGATGGGATGTCTCTCACTGTTTATTTAAAATATTTTTAATCTTGCCTTTCTCATTAAAAAAGACCCAAGATAGCTTACGTGCATCAGAAAAAGGCAATATTTTAAAGTGAAAAACAGCAAGGCAACAAACATTAAAATGAATCAAAGAAAAATTAGTTTTATTCCTGGTCTGGGGAGTAGAAAATTTTATTCTACATATGATGTTCTTAGCCACGTTACTATTCTTTGAGATTTGTCTTAAGTCAAAAGGAAGTGTCTCCCTTAAGTCAAAAGTCTCCCACTATTTATTTAGAATATTTGTACTTTGCCTTTCTCATTAAAAAGGACCCAAGGCAGGTTATGTACATTATTAAAAACTATGTAAGCTGCCCCAAGTAGACGCTGTCTACAGGGGTGGGGTAAAAATCAAATAAATCAAATAAATCAATAAAATTCAAAGGCAACATTTAAAAGTAAAAAACTGTAAGTCTGGAAATCTTAAAAAGAATCAAACCAATGCTACACTAAAAATGGTAAACATAATCAACACCTAGAAAACACCAGAGCCCATCGCTGTGAAGTAGCGGACCGAGGGCTGGACCAGGCCTTCTGTTCTCACAGGACCCTTCCTCAAGGATCCCAAAGCAGGGTGTATATCCAAAGGGGCTCCTCGGCCTCCGTGCCCTCCATGCCAAGGGCCCTGTGTTGTGGGGTTGCCAACCCAAGGCGGGCAGAGTTCAGGTCTCAGGACTTTTCTGGTGTGTTGTCTTCCAACCCCCAACCTTGCTTAGGCTTCGCTCTTCGAGCTCACTAAAAAACCTCACAGGGGCTTGGAAGGCAGCAACCGAGGGTATGTGTGTGTGTGGTGTGTGTGTGTTGGTTTCCCCTTGTGTAAAGCAAAGCGTTTCGCCATCCCTTGGTCTGGAACCACCAACCCTTCGGGACCCAAAGAGGAGACCAGTTTTGGACCTGCGGGAAGAAGAACATCCACCAGGAGACCCTTCCAGATAAGATCTCCCCTTTCAACCTCCATTTTGAAAGATCCCAAGGAGGAAAGTCCACCCCCTTCTCTCTCTCCTGCTTTCTCTCCCGCCTGCCTTTCCGGGAAAAGACTGTGTGTTCACACAAGCAACACAACAGCCCTCTTCCCCCCCCCCCCTTGCAGGTGATCCTCAGCTCAGGATCTGGTCTTGAGGGATCCGGGATCCGGTTACTTCTCCTCCCTGCCAGATCATCCAGGAAAACACACAAACACACACACAGGATGATGAAGCCCTAGGGCCTTGCAGGGGCGTCGGTCTCCCTTCCTTTGGGGGTGAGATCTGGACTCCAGAGATCCTCTCCCCCCCCTCCGAACCCCCTTTCCTGCACGAAGGTCGAGCAGCGCAAACCACAACGAGGCAACACCGGCAACGCCCGGAGAAGAAGCACCCCCCCTTTCCCGGACACGGGTCGGGAACTGGCCCTCGCTGCAAATCTCACCCCCGGATCTGCCCCCCCCTTTCCAGCGCCAACCTCCGTCCAGGTCCCGATCCGGGATTCGACCCAAAAGCACCGCTTCTCTCATCCAGG